GTTCTTTTAACTAAGTTGTAATATTTACCTATAAAGTAAGAACTACAAAGACTAACCCCATTCCATAAAAAAGTTACTTAAGAACAAAAGGATGGCAGCCAGGCGGTGGTAGCACACACCTTTAATCCCAGAACTCGGGAGTCAGAGGCAGGCCAATCTCTGTAGGCTAGCCTGGTCTACAGAACGATACCCAGGAAAGGCACCAAAACTACATAGAGAAACCCTGTCTTGAAAAACAAAACAAAACAAGCAAATAAAAAAAGGAACAAAGGATGGCATGTTAAATTCCAGTATAAATCTGGACTACACCAGACTTATCAGAGAAGCGCTTCAAAATCATGACACCATGCCAGCACCAAGTCCCAACCTCTGCCAGCCATGTAAGAGCCTGTGGCCACAGAAGCCCTGCCAAAACCTTCTTCAAGGCTATCCAGGGGCCACATCTCCAGCTCTGCTGACACAGACACGAAATCAGGACATGTGACCAGAAGGAATAAACAAGTGTCATCCAGTGACTTCATTTTATCTCATCCTCTTTACTTGTTTTATCCAAAGTTGAACTCATTTTATGAACAGATTTGAGCAGGGCCAAGGAGCCTCAGTCTAATGCCTTCTATATAGCCCAAGGGAGAAACAAAGAATTTTGGAACATTCGGTCATGGTTAGACAGGCGGGTGAGAATGTTCTAGAATGGTCTTGGAAGTTAAGAGGAGTTACTTTTCTCATTGCTATGACAAAATACACACACACACACACACACACACACACACACACACACACACACACACACTGTAACCTCAGAAGGATGGAAGGGTTTACTCTGACTCACAGTTGGAGATCACAGCCCATTAGAGTGGGGAAGTCCTGCTGGCAGGAACAGAGCGCGCGAGTCTGCTGGCCACACTGCAGGCAGAGAGGTGAATGCTGGTGCTCACTTCAGTTCTCCTGCCATTCAGTCTGGGACCCCAGCATATGAAGTGCAGCCATTCAAATGAGGGTAGATTATCCCACCCTCATTACCCAGTCTAGAAACTCAGACATTCCCAGAGGTTCATCTTTAGATCCTGTCAAACTGATGACATTAACCAACACAGAGAGGGTCTGAAATTAAAGAACAATCAGCCATGCTGGGCCAACCCTGCATAGAACCCCAAACTCTCCCACTGAGCACCTCTTGCCCTCTCAGACACCTCTGCTAGCATGGAAATATCACACCACCACTGCGCCTTAAAGTTGAAATAGAATTTGAAATGACTTCCTGTAGCTCTATATTGAGTAGAAGATACTAGTTTGAGATGTTGAAGTTCAGTGGTCACCCCACCGTGGAATCTTAGGCCTACAGGAGGAGGTTCAAGGTCACCTGGTGTGGAACAAGATTTCAGAGAACTTGTCGGCCAGGAGGATCTGTCAGCCAGCCACACCCAGTCCTCCGGAGTGCCCTGATGGCATTCATCAAAATAACCTCCGAGCAGGAAGCTTTTTCTAAAGTTGCTGGCCTTGAGAACAAAGCGTACACTGGCAGCATTTTTCAGGGCTCTTTGGCCTTCCTCACTACTGAAGTTTTTGTTTGGGCTGGTTGGTTTTGGCTATTGCCTGTTGTCAGGAAGGCCAAGTTTTACGTGAGGCACAAGATCCAACAGTAGAAACATTTAAACTTTTATGGAGTGAGGAAGCTTTTGAAGGATTTTTCTGGTTCATCTAAAAACATTAGTTTGGCTGAGTACATAGAAGCCTACTTTTCCCATCCAGGCATTGCATGTGACATTTATCTGTCATCAAGTTCCTCATAAGAAAAAAAGTGAGTCACGGCGGCCCTCCCCTGAGATGCCTGTCCCCATACTTGAGTAAGTCTTCTGTTGCCGGCTAATCTGTATTTCTAAGCAAACACCTAGGAAACAGATTTCACTAAGTCACTAAAGATGCTCACATGATGAGTTTACTTTTTATTAGAGGGTAATAAATCACTTCCTTTTAACAAAGTAAAATATATGCTATTTGGTTAGAATAATAATACGAAAGTAACACATAATTATACCTTTTTTGCTGAAGCCAATAAGATTTTAGACAAGACAGAGAATGGGAAACTGAGAAGATTACTGAAGAGGTTAAGAGTACTTGTTGCTCTTGCAGAGAACCTGAGTTCAGTTTCCAGCACTACCTGTAACTCCTACTCCAAGGGACTCGGACACTTTCTTCTGGCCTCCAGGCACCACACACACACACACACACACACACACACACACACACACACACACACACACACACACACCAAATAAATAAATACATAAACAAACAAATAAATACCTAAACATTTTTAAGAATGAAAATGGTAATTAGTCCATGCAGCCATCAAAGAGAAAGTAGATAATTGGCTGAGGCTGCTGTATTAGTTACTTTTCTATGCAAAGACATCAAGACCAAGGAACTTAGAGAAGAAAATTCGCCCGGGAATTTTCTCATAGGCTAGAATCCATGACGGCAGAGTGGAGGCAGGTGTCGGGCGACTATAGCAACAACTCATAGCTTATATCTCAAACCTCAGAGAGCTAACTCAAATTGGCATGTGCCTTTTGAAACCCCAAAGCCTGTCCCCCAGCAACATACTTCCCCCACCAAGGCCACGCCTCCTAATCTACCCAAACAGCCACCAACCAGGGACCAAGTGCTCGAATGCCGGCAGACATCTCACACAAACCACCATAGTTTCCTACCTGCCCAGAGGCTCACCTTAGAGCTGCACGTCAGCCTGAATTTCATTTAGATGGGGCAAGAAGGCAAAAAGAGGGCTAAGTGTCCCCACAAAGAGCAGATGCCCCAGGGAGCCTTGACGGGAATATGAAGGCCGTCGGAGAGCACACATTTTCAGAGAAAGCCTTGACTCCCACTTTGTGTGGACTCCACGGATCTGTGTTTGCTAAGACACACGGAGAAAGGCAAACATGGCTGCAGAAATTCAAGCTGAAGACGCGCTACAGTTAACTCACACATAAATGGAAAGTGGAGAAGTAAAGCCGAGCCATGCAAACTATTTCCATTTTGGAGTTGGAAGGATTCAAAGCAGAAGAGTTCAGTGTTAGCAGAAGCAAAGGTGAGTCTTCTGGGTTAAGAAAGACTCAAATAAGTTTGGCTAGCCAGTGCAAACAGAATGAACATGTTTAATCAGCCTTAAAAAATGGTGGACAGTTAGAATGACCAAGATTCTTGAGACGATGAATGGAAAAGTCAGAGTTGAAAGCAAAGTATACAGTCGGTGGTTAAGGGTGGCAAGTCCTCAGGACATCTCTCACCTGGGGCAAGAGGAGGGGACAGCTGAAGACATAATCTCAGGTAACACGTGACCTCACTGTGTAGCAGCGAGTCTGTCCGGAAGTCAGTGTGACTCCCGGGTTTGGCGGTTTGAGATGCCAGTCAATGGTGGGGATTCAGTGAGGGAGGACAAAGCCACATGGCTGTCGTAGGTGGTCTGACTGGAGCACACCTTTGCGGATGGGAGCAATGCTGATGGATGGGCTTCCTAACAGCAGGTGTCAGGCTGAGCCACTCTGAGCGAATGAAAATGAGATCACTTCCGTGGAGAAACGAAGGACTGGCCGTTAAAGGTCTGTGCCAACGTAAGCTCCTCTAGCTGTGTGGCCAGCGCAGAGAGAGAAGCTAGAACCATAGCAATGGGTGACCAGAGTTGGAGAGAATGTGAGGGACGAACAGCAGAGGGTTGAGGAAACAAGTCTCGTCTCCCTGGCTGTCATTGGTGACATCGTGGGGACGGCTGGCAGTGGCCAGCAGGTCTCCAGTGATAAAAATGTTTTCGTTCTGTACTGTCTGAACAGTAAGTAGCTACTGTGGATATTGTGACCACCAAGCAACTAAATCTCCGACTCCAAACGTTTTCATCTTTATGTAAATGTGAGAGACAGTGCTAGTCTAGATAAAGCTCAGGAGAAAATATGAGATCTGAAGAAGACCGACAGACTGCAAAGGAATTGCACCAAAATTCAGAAGTATGAAGGGGTTAGGGAGCAGGTTGTGACTAAGCCTGGCTGTACTTAGAACAGTTCTGTGTTGTGGTGGCATCCAGATGGTAACAGTGCCTGTGAGTGAAGGGAGCTGAAGGTGAACTAGAGGTCAGATTGCAGGGGGCAGTATGTGTGAGTGCATGTGCAGCCGGGGGATGATGGGGGTTCCCCAAGAGACTCATCGCTTACCCCCAGACCTGAAGAAAGGTAACCAGGCCCCAGAAGGCATGAGATAAAAGCCACTGGGTGAGGAGATAACAGTCTGAGGCTTCAGGAAGCGAATAATTTTGTTTGTAATTTTTGTTTATTTATTTATTGTGCATGTGAGTGTAGAGGACAAGTTTTGGGAGTTAGCTCTCACCTCGATGAGGCGGTTTCTCTTACTGTTTCTACCGTGACAGACTGGCACCCAGCTTCTGGTGATCCTCCTGCCTCCGTAGGGTACTGGCCTTACAGATGTGCACCACTGCAGACTTGGCCATCAGGCTTGCACAGCTCATGCCTTTACCCCGAGCCACATCCCAGACCTATTTTGTTCATTAAAATACTAGTTATTCTCAGGACCAGCAAGATGGCCCAGCAGGTAAAGGCACTTGCTGCCAAGCCCGAGGACTGAGATCAATCCCCAGAACCTACATGGTGGAAAGACAGAGCCTCTTAGGTTGTTCTCTGATCTCAACATACACCCTGTGACACATGCATGGCTTCCCATATATACATATATGTATATAAACACATACATATGTACACACGTGTACTATATATATAGTACACGTGTGTGTATATGGTGTGTATATATGTACGATATAGTGTATACATGCATTGTGTGTGTGCATGCATGCATTCTCTGAAGGAGACTTTGTAGACCAAGGAAAAGGTAGATTCGGCCCTCTGAATCTGGTTTTTGGCAGACAAGTGAGAACACTGTAACTTTCCCAGAGGATGACAATCATAGTTAATTTTAATGTCTATAATTTTATTTTACAGGTCTGCTTGGACTTTGGAAATGGACTTCACTTAGAGGTGAGAAACTAAGGGGAATTAATCCCACTTTGGGGACCCAGGGCCTTAGTTTTCTGGCAAACAGGTTGGCTATGCTTTACTAGATTGGAAATCTACACTGCCTTAGACCTGGACCTTCTCATTCAAACAAGCACAAAAGAACCCACATCAAAGAATGCTCAGTTCCGCATTTTATTTTTTAAAAAAAGACCTTGCCAGGCATAGAAGAGCACACTTCTTTGGTCCTAGCACTCATGAGGCAGAGGCAGGTGGGAGGCAGGTGGGTCTCTGTTGGTGACCAGCCTGGTCTACAAAGTGAGATGAAAGCCCTTTACCCATGGCTGTGAACTGTGAGAGCATGGAGATCGTGGGAGGTTTTCCTGGAGACATTAATTAGGAATGAGTAAAGATTAGGATTTCTGCAGTTTTATGTTGTAAGTTTTAATGTTCTCATCTGTTTCTTAGAGAGACAGAGAGAAAGTGAGCATAAAGTTGTGTGAGAAGGATATGGGAGGAGGGGAGGGAAACATGATCGAAATATAATTTCATGAGAATTTTTTATTGAAAAAAAATGTTTTAAGTCATAAATCACATTTTATTAAGAAAAATTTCCAAGTAGAAATAAAGAAAAATGAGAGGCAGTGTAAACATTTTAAAATAAAACACATGATTATTTAGAGCAACAAAATGGGTAGAACGAAGAGATGAACCTGGTGCAGAATTATTCTGTACTAAGTCAACTACACTGAAATTTTCCTTGGATAAAAAATTTCTACAGGCCAACAAGATGGCCCAGCAGGTAAACTCACCTGCTGTCCAGCCTGAGGACCTGAGTTCGATCCCCAAGAACATGGAGGAAGGAGAGAAATGACTCCTGCAAGTTGTCCTCTGACCTCCATGAGTCACACATGCACACGCGCGCGCACATGCGAGCACACACACACACAATAAATAAATAAGTAAATGTTTAAAACTATATAAAATCTCCCTATAAAACCTAACTGAAAATATGTAAAATAATTTTCCCATGTCGAGTTTTAAAACACAAGAAAAGGGCAAACTTAATGACTTACCAGTTGGTAGGGGTGGGAAGCAAGAGCTAAACCCAGAGCCTAGCCTAGCCTCAAACTTAGAATCCCGCCTCTACTTCTCAAGTGCTGGATTACAACATGTCTGACCTTGCCTGCTGGCATCAAATTTCTGTCAACCATTTCTGAAGAGAAAGTCCTAAAACACAAAGTCATGTATTTTCAACCCAAAAGTCATCACAGAAAGTGGAACTCAGTTGTCAGCCAGAAAGAAAGGAAGCCCTTGGCACACTCTTGCTTCTAATCGTAAGGGGCCAGCTCATTTATTGGTCTTTTGTGGAGCTTGCTTTGGAAACTTTTTCTTACTATGGAAAACAAACCCTGCCACTTTACCAGCTGGGAGGCCCTCTCTCCTGTGCCTACAGAGTTTGCCAGAATTTCCTCTATGAAAATGAAGCTTGTTAAAAAATACAAAACGTATCTTAAGTTTTGCACTATTTTGTTTTTAATCGATTAGGATTACTTTAAGTAATACATTAAACTATGCACTGTTTTTAAGTTTAGTGAATTGCAGAATGTCCGTGGGGATGTATTAATTGAAGGTAACCTTGTTAACAGGTTTTCAGCACAAGAAGAGGAGACAAACTGCTCCCTAAGCACACACACTTGGTGCGCCAAAAGCGGGCCTGGATCACTGCCCCTGTGGCTCTGCGGGAGGGAGAGGACCTTTCCAGAAAGAACCCAATTGCCAAGGTACCAGCTACAGAGCAATATGGTGTGTGTATGTGGTGGTGGTGGTGGTGGTGGTGGTGGTGGTGGTGGTGGTGGTGGTGGTAGTGGTGTGTGTGTGTGGTGTGTGTGGTGTGTGTGGTGGTGTGTGTGTGGTGGTGTGTGTGTGTGGTGGTGTGTGTGTGGTGGTGTGTGTGTGTGGTGGTGTGTGTGTGTGTGTGGTGGTATGTGTATGTGTGTGTGTGTGTGTGTGGTGTGTGTGTGGTGTGTGTGGTGGTGTGTCTGTGTGTGGTGGTGTGTGTGTGTGTGGTGGTGTGTTTGTGTGTGGTGGAGGTGTGTGTGTGTGTGGTGGTGGTGGTGGTGTGTGTGTGTGTGGTGTGTGTGGTGTGTGTGGTGGTGTGTGTGTGTGTGTGGTGGTGTGTCTGTGTGTGGTGGTGTGTTTGTGTGTGGTGGAGGTGTGTGTGTGTGTGGTGGTGGTATGTGTGTGTGTGTGTGTGTGTGTGTGTGTGGTGTGTGTGTGGTGTGTGTGGTGGTGTGTCTGTGTGTGGTGGTGTGTGTGTGTGTGGTGGTGTGTTTGTGTGTGGTGGAGGTGTGTGTGTGTGTGGTGGTGGTGGTGGTGTGTGTGTGTGTGGTGTGTGTGGTGTGTGTGGTGGTGTGTGTGTGTGTGTGGTGGTGTGTCTGTGTGTGGTGGTGTGTTTGTGTGTGGTGGAGGTGTGTGTGTGTGTGGTGGTGGTGGTGTGTGTGTGTGTGTGTGTGGTGGTGGTGGTGTGTGTGTGTGTGTGTGTGTGTGTGTGGTGTGTGTGGTGGTGTGTCTGTGTGTGGTTGTGTGTGTGTGTGGTGGTGTGTTTGTGTGTGGAGGTGTGTGTGTGTGTGTGTGTGTGTGGTGTGTGTGGTGGTGTGTGTGTGTGTGGTGGTGTGTTTGTGTGTGGTGGAGGTGTGTGTGTGTGTGGTGTGTGTGGTGGTGTGTGTGTGTATGTGTGGTGTGTGTGGTGGTGTGTGTGTGTGTGGTGGTGTGTTTGTGTGTGGTGGAGGTGTGTGTGTGTGGTGGTGGTGGTGGTGGTGGTGTGTGTGTGTGTGTGTGTGTGTGTGTGTGTGTGTGGAGGGGGGGAGTTAAGGCTGTGGTGTATGAAAATTACTCTGTCCACTTTCTGATATAAGGAAAAATACAGTACTGTACTTATCATGTGTGTTTAAAAGTGACCAGAACTTGCCTTGCAGACATCAATAACACTTCAATACATGATTTGAGGATTTGATTCAGCCACATCCCAGGGAATCTGGCGTTGGGTCAGCCTTAGTCTAATACACAACCTCACAATAGTCACAAAAGGATAATATCTCATGAAAAACAGCAGCTGCCAGGAACTGAGGTCTGAGAGGAAGAGTGGCTGTGACTGTGGCCTTCTTGGCTTGGGACAGCCCTGCATGCCTGACTTCTGCAGTCAGTAATCGACAGCTGTCCTTTCCCGCAAAAGGAATCCAATTTTCAGATAAAGTCCAGGGCAGTCCCAGCATGGGGTACTCTAATCCCAAAGTTAAGTTAGCTGTACGAACCTGAGTGCGCACCCCTCTGGTTAGTCTCCTTAAAGCTGTTCTTATTCTGCCCATCTCTGTGACTGGCACTGTAACTCTACTTCTTTTTTTTTCCACTGTTTTTATTTATTACGTTACATTGGTGGTGCGGGGAAGCTCCACAGCCATATAAGGTCAGCGGACGACTTCGGAGAGTCTGTTCTCTCCCTCTGCCGTGTGTTCCAGGGACTGAACACTGGTCATCAGACTGGACAGCATGCGCCTTTACCCACCAAGCCATCTTGCTGAACCTCCTCTGTATTCTAATAGCTTTCCACATACTTGCAGTGTTTGTTATTTCACTTCCTGCTACCCTCTGGCTCCCCTTCCCTTCGCTTTCCTCCTACATTGTCCCCAGTGACTATACCATTAGAAGATGACACCATCTTTTCCAGCAACCACGAACAGTCCTGCCTCCTCGGGAAGGGTGGGACTCACGCGCCGCGCCGCGCCCCCCCCCCCCTCCCCCCCCCCCCCCCCCCCCCCCCCCCCCCCCCCCCCCCCACCCCCCCCCCCGCTTTTCTTCAGTCCCACTGCTGAAGTCCCTGTCACCTCCACCTCCCACCTGGTCTCCCTGATTTCACTCTTGCCAAAGCCTCACCCACCTGACACCCATTCTCTGGAATTAGCAAGAGCAAACTTCTGAAGACAAACCAAAGCATGTCCACCCTATTACTGAGGCCCTGAAATCAGCTAAGGGAAGGGCAGAGAGGAAGAATGCCCCCCACACGGTCTGTGGGAGCTCATGTGATTGTTGGCCTTGGACTCTCTCTGTCCTGGATTTCTACCCCCTGCTTCACTGCATCCACTGAACTGGCCACAGGTCACTCCAGCCTTTCACCCTTGGCCCTTGCTGGTGTCTCTTCCTGGAGTCTGTTCCCCACAGGGATTTTTGGTACATGACTTCATCACATCCCTGTTGAAATGTCTCTCTGTCCTCTGATCCTGTCTGAGTCTGGCTTACAGCATGTTTGTGCTAGACGTTGGTCAGGTACTGCTTGCTTGTTACCCGCATCATTAGCATAGACGCTCCATGTGAGCCTCAGTCCTTAGGGCTGTCAGCCCTGCCTGTGCCCTGCCTGCGCAGTGGGTGTTCCATAAACATCGGCGTAAATGTATCCACGCTTGATCTTCAACTTTCCAATCTTATATGAAAGGGCTTCTAAAAGAGAAGTTCAGTTATAGACTCAAAGACAATAGTTTCCTTTTTCTAGCATCCTGCTGTATTTATTATTTACTTTTTTAAACACGACCATTGTTTTTGACTTTTAATTTTATTGTGTATGTGTGTTTTCACATACACAGTCTGTGTCGGATCCTCTGAAACTGGAGCTACAGACAGTTGTGAGCTCCCACGTGTGTGCTGGGAACCCAACCCAGGTCTCTGCAAGAGCAGCCAGAGTGCTGTTTACCATTGAGCCATCTCTCCAGCCCCACCGCACTGTTTTATAAAAGCCTGCTAAAATCTAGACTTTGACTGGCCTCACAAAGCGGCATGTGTACAACAAACAACTGAGTGTTTTGTTTGGACTTTGCTCGGTTTTGGTTTTGTTTCTGGTTTTTGTATCTCAGTCATTCATACTGTCTGTCAATAGATTTCCATAAAACTGACTCTTGAGTATAACTGTTATTCTCTGTTCTTATTCATTTTAATTATACAAGTTGTTAAAAGGAAAATTTTCACAAAAACCAAAGGGCTGATTTCACATGCTGCTCTTGCCAAGGGCCTGAGTTTGGTTCCCAGCACCTCATGAGGCTCACAACCACCCGTAACTACAGCTCCAGGAGATGTGGCACCTCCCTCTGGCCTCTGCAGGCCTCTACCGTCACATGCACAAACTCTTCCATCCTCATCTCGCTACATACATATACATAATTAAAAATAAAATACACCTTTTAAAATACTTTACACAGAAGGCAAAATACCTCAGGAAATTATCGACACTTTCCAAACTCCCCACCTAAAATCAATACTCACGACAGCCCTACTCCAGCGGATGTTGGAAAACTGTGGGAAGAATGTGTCATTAATCCTAAGGTTTCAGTACAGAGAGCTGGTCGGGCAGGTAGGGATTTACGTCTTCAGTGATACGTGACGACAAACCACAGAAGCCAAGAAGCCTGGGGAGGGACACAGGGAAACACAACTAATGAAAACGTAGGTAGGAACAGGATCGCTTATGGAGAAAACAGAGGACAACTCCAGGGCGCCTAGCAGCTTAGAAACAGTACTGATTTGCCAAAGTATTTATTCCAAGCACAAAAAGTGCTTAAGTGTATTCACCCCTGTCTGTGAAGATGCTCTGTTCATACCTTTCAGGCAACTGGGTGGATTTATGAAAGTAGTTTTTGATTCTGGAGTTCTTACTGTATGTACCAAATTTAAAATATCCTCCCCCTGAGTTGGGCATGGTGGCACATGTCTATAATCCCAGCTCTTGGGAGATAAACGCAGGAGGATCGGAAGTTCAAGGTCATCTTCAGCTACATATCAAGTTGGAGGCTAGCCTGGACTATCTCATTAAACCTACTTCCAGTGAGTGTAGCTCAGTAAGAGCTCTCTGCAAGCATGCAGAAGTCACTGGTTTCTACCCTAGTACACCAAAGAAAAAAGAAAAAAATCTACTGCCCCTCCAAGATGTACCCCAACTGTATCTCAATTCCACAATAGTCACAAAAGGTGAGCAGTGTCCTACTGTCCATTTCACAGAGAGAACTGAACCGAGGGAGGCCGAGCAAATGACCAGTGTCACTACATGTCCCGGGCCACCTGCCTCCTATCTATCTATACCATGATACCTTCAAAAGGACATTGTCATTAAACTGTTTTATAAATTATAAAGGTTTTAACTTGAGACATTCCTCTTTTCTTTTTATGTTAGATACATTCTGACCTTGCGGAAGAACAGGGAATAAAAATCACCTATAAATACACTGGGAAGGGAATTACACAGCCACCCTTTGGTATATTTGTCTTTGATAAAAACACAGGAGACCTGAACATTACCAGCATTCTTGACCGGGAAGAAACACCGTATTTTCTGGTAAGAAGGAACAATTTTACCTTTTTTTGTAGTTCTTCTTTGATTACAGTTATGAGTTGTTTTTGTGTTTATGCTATAGCAATTGATTTTAGTTCAGCTTAAAATCTGTTATTGTTCCTGTCACAATTCAGCTGACTGGCTATGCACTGGACTCTAGAGGAAACAACCTGGAGAAACCCTTAGAACTACGCATTAAAGTTCTCGACATCAACGACAACGAGCCAGTGTTCTCGCAGGATGTCTTTGTTGGGTCTGTTGAAGAACTGAGTGCTGCACGTAAGAACGTATTGCTTTTTTAATTCTGTGTGTTTGCGTCTGTGTGCTTGTCTGCATGGGCACCACCTGTGGGCAGGTGTCTGTGGAGGCCAGGAGAGGGTGGGTGCCAGATCCCCTGGAACTGGAGTTACAGGCAGTTGTAAACTACCTGATGTGGATGCTAGGAACTGAACCTGAGTTCTCTCCAAGAGCAGCCAGTGCTGTTAACCACTAAGCCATCTCTCCAGACCTAGACCCAAATATATTTCCTTTTTATTGCTGGGGGTAGGAGGTGGGAGTGGGGGGGTATATACAACCAAGGTCCTTTATCCTCCATATATAAAAACACAAAACTCTATCTTTTTAATAAAACTTGAGTATTACTCATAGGAAGAATGATAATAAACCCCTCACTCCAGGTTCAGACCTCTTTTATTACTGTAAATTTAAAGGACCTTAAGAATCTTGGTCTTTTAGAAAAGATGATAGATTAGATTGACACAACAGGTAAGGTCTCCATAGCAACTGTTCAAGCCTGCCCTGTAAGGGGAAGTTGGCTGTGTAAAATGGGCAGGATTGTGTTCTAGTAAAATTTTATGAGCAAAAACAAGCAGCCACCTGACTTTGGGCTACTGTGGGGTGTCTGTCGTTGGTCTGTGATTTGTATTATTTTCACTCTAAGGTCTGCTGATGACATTGTTCAATGCAATGCTCTCCCTGAGACCCAAAGGAGGGATTTCTCTTTAATCATAATAAAAAGAATAGTTGTACTAATCCTGATTTATTTCATGTGAATAAGCATCCAGGGTCACGGGTAGTTCTCAGTCTTGGCTATTAGATTAAGTGTGTGGCCCTCATGCAGCAATTTTTCAAAACTCTCCTAACATTCTGTGTGTAGACATACACGCCTGTGCAAAAGTTCCATGGCACATTCGTGTGAGGGTCAGTTCTCTCCTTCCATCATGTGACCCCAAGGATTGATCTCAGTTCGTCATGCTTGGCAACAAATGCTTTCAGCCCTGAGATATCTCTCTGTCTCCATCCAATTAAATTTCCGATAGTGATATAGTGTAATTCTGATAAGAACCCAGATCCTTGTAGGGAAAGGCTGAAAGAATTTGCGAGTACCCTTACCTCAACACCTTTATTCCTAATGCCAGATACACTTGTGATGAAAATCGTCGCCACAGATGCAGATGAGCCCAATACCCTGAATTCTAAAATCTCCTACAGAATTGTCTCCCAGGAGCCTGCAAATAGTCCCATGTTCTACCTCAATAAAGACACGGGGGAGATTTATACAACCAGTTTTACTTTGGACAGAGAGGTAAGTTAATGTTATCTACCACCTTCTTTTTTTTTTACACTCTCTCCTTTTTAGTTTCTCCACTCTTTTTAGTTTTCTTTTAATTTTTTCTGCATGCCTCACTCATGGAATAACTCTAAGAATTATCATGTAGGGATGTGCTGCCCAATACGGTAGTTAGTAGCCACATGTGGCTGTTGCGCTCTTGGAATGTGACCAGTCCAAATTGAGGTGTGTTGTATTCATATTGAAATGCGTAAAATAAGCACCAGATTGGGAAAACTTAGCATGAAGGCTATAAATTTTGACCTTGTGACTCAGACATTGAGCACAGCTGCACTCCCAGCCCTCAGAAGAAAGAGGCAGAAAAGCTCCCCAAGTTCAAAGCCAGCCTGATCTACATAGGGAACCCCAGGCTATCCTGAGCCACATTGTGAAACTCAGTTTCACCAACAGTGCCTGGTAGGATAGCACAGACCTTTAATCCCAGCCCTCAGGAGAATCTCGGTGAGTTTGAGGCCAGCCTAGTTTCCATAAGAGAATTCCAAGCTAGCCAGGGCTGCATAGTGAGATTCCATCTCAAAAACAGAAAGGGAAATTAAAAAGTTCATACTGGAGGAAATTCTTGCTTTGAATCTCAAAAGAAATTTTGAGAATTTGAGTAGTTTCCTAGAAAGGTTATTCTCTCAAACGTTTTTCTTTTTTTTATTTCCAGTTCAAAAAAAGTTTTAGCTTTATGTATGTGAGTGTCTTGCTTGCATGTGTATGTCTATGCACCCCATGTATGCCTGGTGCCTGTGGAGCTCAGAAGAGGGCATCAGATCCCTGTCACAGGAGTTATGAGACAGCTGAGAGCCAGGACGTGGATGCTAGGAACCAAATCTGGGTCCTCTGAGAAAGCTTCCAGTACTCTTAATCACTGAGCCATCTCTCCAATCCCTAATTCTAATCTTTTAATCAAAGAGGAGATAGATAATCTTTAAGTGCCACATGCACAAAGATTTTAGTAACATAGTAAAGTGTTAGCAGTCCCGAGGACACTGCAATGTTACCAGATGTAAATCTTAGGCACTGTGTCATGTTTGAGAATCAACTACTCAAATGGGAAGGACCTTGGCCAGCATTCCTATTGAGATCTCTGAAATCAGAGAATGTGACCAATGACTCCTAACTTCTGCTGACGCACTGTCACATGAAACTGGAGTGGGGGAGTGTTCCTCCAAGTACACTGCTATCCCTGTAGTGTGGACATCGAGCTGATAATCACAGCTGTCACTTATCGGGCAGTTACCAGGTTACCTTGTGTAATCCACACTGAAACCCTGAGGCCAATCCAGCTCTTACTCCCATCTTACACATAAGGAAACTGAGGCTCCAAAGGAGTAAGAGTGTTTCCAGCCAAGCAGGCAGTTAGCTTCAGAGACGCAGCTCTCCTCCATCCACTGAGTGGTTCTGTCCCGCACGGGACCCTCCCACACTGAAATGGCAGCTGAGCCCCTTAAAGCCCCAGACACGCTGGCTGGAGCCATAGACAGAAGACCACATGTAAGAAAAGGGTTCACTTTCTCTATTGTTTTGCTTTGTGCTGTGCAGTGGTTTTTATGTTTTCTCGTGTAGCTGAGGATGACCAGGAGCTTCTGGTCCCCCTGCTTCCACCTCCAGAAAAGGGTACACTGTTTGTTGTTTGGCTTTGGTTTGGGATTTTCTTTAGGTACTTTGGAGTGACTTTTGACATCTCGGGGCATCTGTTGGACAGGTTTCCTAGGAGTCCTCCCTGCAGGAGTCTGGACCAAGCCTTTCAAGTTCTACCTCCCCTGGCCAACTCGTCCTGACTTAGCATTTAACTTGGGACGAAAAAGTACAGGAGCAAAACAAAGTGCCCACTTCAGTCCCACGCCACCTCCAGGGCAGAACAGTCCACCTTTGTTTGGAAAAGCCATCTCCTAAGACTGTTCCCGGTGACACAGTTAAGGATTATCAAAAACTCCCCTAGGGTTTTCTGCCCTTCTGTGAAAGCTCTGATTGCATGTAAACCACACCTCCACACCAATAATAGCAGACCACAGAGGTTACTTGTGAATGAAACAGGCCGTCGTCCATTTCCTAAGGGTGGAGTGAACCAAACCCAGAAAGGCAGCTTCTGGAGATATTAATTTCCACCTCAGATGGATCGTCTTCATTTTTTTTTTTCTGCAGGAATACAGCAGCTATTCCTTGACAGTAGAAGCAAGAGATGCTGATGGGCAGATAACTGATAAACCAGTACAGCAAGCTCAAGTTCAGATTCGGATCTTGGATGTCAATGACAATATACCTGTGGTGGAAAATAAAATGGTAACTTGTTTTTAGAGTAGGTTTACTATTTCTTGAGTCCCAACTGAAAATGTTTTATTGCATTACTAAAAACTGTGTGTTTATGCTTTGCAGTATGAAGGGGTGGTAGAGGAAAACCAAGTCAACGTAGAAGTCATGCGTATCAAAGTCACCGATGCAGATGAAGTAGGCTCCGATAACTGGTTAGCAAATTTCACGTTTGCATCAGGAAATGAAGGAGGTTATTTCTACATTGAGACTGACACACAGACTAATGAAGGGATCGTGACCCTTGTCAAGGTAAGTTGTGAGTGTTCGCCACCAGGGCAGGACTGTGGCTATCGGAGAGACTAACATATTGTGAGCCTCATACTCTCACGACTGCTTTATGAGAACATCAGCTGGTACCAGCCTCGCTCAGAATCAGGGACATTCTTCCTGGCCCAAGTTATATGTCACGCTGCGGTTCAGAAGCAGATCAGGAACTCAGGTCGCAGCCACACGGCCTCCCATGGCACACTTCCAAGAAGCTTACTACCCAGTGTGAGCTTGATGGGCCAGGGCTCCATAACTTGCCTTTTGAACCCAAATCTATCGCGATTTTACTTGCAAGTATTGTAAGAGCTGCATTTTGGAACACAGTAACCTGCTTTCCAGTGCCTCCTGTGAAGGAAAAAGTGAATTAAGTAGTCTTTGCGAGCACATGAAATTCAGGGTACAGCATGTGTGAGGTGCTAGGTTTAATCCCCAGTGCCAAACAAATTAAAACTTGATGGGGTGTGGTGACTTGTACCTATAATCCCAGCACTTGGAGGGAGGACTGTTGAAAGTTTAAGGCCAACCTAGACTTCACTGTAAGTTCCAGGCCAGCCTGGGTTACAAAGCAAGACCCTGTCTTAAAAATAATAATAATAACAACAACAATAACCAAGGTGCAGTGGTGGGGCACACCTTTAATCCTAGCACTCAGGAGGCAGAGGCGGAGGCAGGCGGATCTCTGTAAGTTCGAAGCCAGCCTGGTGTACATAGCAAATCCCAGGACAGATGTAACACACAGCAAATGCACAGGGAAAGGAGCTCAAGGTCATTCAGTCACTAGAGACACGTCCACACCTGCGGCTACTACAGAAACACTGCTGGAGAGAAGAGCAATGAAAGGGGAGTCCAGGTGAACTCGGGAGGGGGATCTTTTTTCTTTTCCTGATGATAGTATTATTTATGTGTGTGTGTGTGTGTGTGTGTGTGTGTGTGTGTGTGTGTGTGTGTATACACTCACATATGTCAACACAAGAAAAAGAAATGGCTGCATAAAAATTCTCAGAACAAATCAATTCTATGTAAAAACTGTAAATTGCTCAAAAGCTAGTAACAGAATGACTAAGTGAGTCAAGCATAGCTTAGTCCCAATATTTATCTTTAAAATGGAAAGTTGGAGCACACACTGTGTACACAGTGATCGCGCACACTGCGCAATGGGTGTTGTAAACAGCACAGTTGACAAAGAGTTTTTCGAAGGAAGGCTGATCTTCCTTGGACTCAGCAGCCAAGAGCTAAGATACTCATTGGCCCTATGCTGCAAGGGGAGGGAGCAGGCTCTGATTTAAATGTACTTCCCTGGGCTTTCTCTTTACACCAAGAAAGATCAGATTCTTTATCGTGTTAAGGTGCAGTGTAAGTCTATCTTAGAATCCGGGCAGTGGTGGTACACGCCTCTAATCCCAGCACTTGGGAGGCAGAGGCCTCTGTGAGTTTGAGGCCAGCCTGGTCTACAGAGCTAGTTCCAGGACAGCCAGGGCTACACAGTAACCCTGTTTGGAAAAAGGAAAAGGAAAAAAACTAAACCTACCTTAGGAACAGAGTAGGCAATACCACTGTCTCAGTTAGGGTCCTGATGAAACACCACAACCAAAAGCTAATTGGGGAGGCTGGAGGCAGGAGCTGATGCAGAAGCCATGGAGGGGTGCTGCCTACTGTCTGGCTCAGCCTGCTTTCTTATAGAACCCAGGACCACCAGCCCAGGGATGTCCCCACCCACAGTGGGCTGAGCCCTCCCCCATCAATCGCTAATTTTAAAAAGGCCCTAGAGGTTTGCCTACAGCCCAATCTTATTGAGGCACTTTCTGAATTGAGACAACAGTCTCTCAGATGACTTTAGCTTGTGTCAAGTTGACATAAACTATCCAGCCCAGCCACCATGTACTCCACATCCCCATTTATGAAAAACAAATCCATGGAACATATGTTACTGAACATTAATTTTTATTAAATGCCCATTAATTTCTCCATTGCAAAAAATCACTTTTGCTATTTTTTTTAAAGAGAAATATATGCTTCTGAAAATAATTATAACTGTTACAAAAACTTGCTGTATTAGACATGGTGGATCAGGCCACTTAAGACAGCACCTAAGGAGGAGAGGCAGAAAGATAGTGACATGTTCAAGGCCAGCTTGGCTTGCAGAGTGAGTTCCAGGCCATGGAAGAGCTATATTTTTTTTTACCCCAAAATACTAATAATTGTAAGGGTCAGAGGTGGTAGATGACTTCAAAGAAAGTGTTTCTTTGCGCATGTGACCTCACCGAGACTGTGACAGCATATACAAGACCTGGACATGCTCAAGTCAGACAAATTCCCATCGAGAAGGGGAAAAGGTCGGTCCCAACCCTCACAGAGGAGCATGTGAAGGCTGCTGGAAGGAGAGTCAGTTTTCTTTAATGGTGTGACATCTCCTGTATTGACACATTCCAGGGCAAGCCTCATGCCTAAGAGTAACTGAACAGCACAGACCAGACTCCATGGGGGTGGGGGAGAGAGAGAGAGAGAGAGAACAGAGTTCAGTGAGAAGGAAAGTGGACGTGGATCTGGGAGATCTGAGATGGGCTTGAAGCTGATCAAAATTCATTGCATAAAATTCTCAAGGAATAAAAAAAAAAGGACAGTAATAATGAAACCTCCTAAGCAGTTCACGTTTGTGGATTTCCAGATCAACAGGATGCGCCGCTGGTTGCTGTGGTGTAGAATGGACTGCTCAGTGCGGCTCTCGCGGGTGTTGTTCTTGGAGTCCAGGTGTCTCTGTGTGTGTGCTCGTGTGGTTCCTCTGCAGTAACCGGCTTTGTCTCTCTAGGAAGTCGACTATGAGGAAATGAAGAGTCTCAACCTCAGCATCCTTGTCACTAATAAAGCAGCTTTCCACAAGTCTGTTAGGAACAAGTTCAAGGCTACGCCCATCCCCATCACTGTCAAGGTCAAGAACGTGGTTGAAGGCATTCATTTCAAGAGCAGTGTTGTCTCCGTCCGAGCTAGTGAAGCGATGGATAGATCCAGCCTCAGCCGGTCGATTGGAAAATTTCAAGTTTTTGATGAAGACACTGGACAAGCAGCTAAAGTAAAGTAAGATATGGTTATGGGTGTATTTCTAGGTTTTATTTACCTTATGTACCTGCTTTTTTAAAAGTCGGTTTTCAAAACTCATTACGACATCTAAGCAGCTCATTCCTTCATGTCCCAGAATGACAGTTTGCTAAAGGCCGGTGAAATCAGTTCTCCCCAAACTGAGCCTGTAGTTGGAGGAAGGAGGAGTTTCCATCCTTCCCGCAGCCTCTGTGTGGAGGCGGAGGCTGGGCTGGTCACCTCCATGACCGCTCTACTAGAGAAGACCGAGAGAGCATCTCAGAAAATAACTGTAAAATTCTCTTATTACCCAGCACACTAGGGGGTGAGGAAGCAGCCAATAAGATTAACCACATGCTAAAGATGCTAGCACACGATTATAACCCAGTACTGTGAAGGTTGAGGCAGGGGGATTCTGAGATCCTGGCCAACCTGAGCTCCACAGTGAGACCCTGTCTCAAATAAGTGAATGAAGAGAGAATCTTGCCACGAATTCCGCTTTACACACTTTTTTTAAAGTAGTTCTACACATTCCTAGAGTTGAGGATTTAGCTCAGTGGTAGAGTGCTTACCTAGCAAATGCAAGGCCCTGTGTTAGGTCCTCAGCTTGCGGGTGGTAGGGAATAGTTTCACACATTTCAATATGGGAGAAGTTGTTTTATGTACAAATAAATTTTGAGAATTAATCTTTATTTAAGCCACTTTATTTAGTTCAAGGAGGTGTGAGCTTTTCTGTGTATCACATGAATGTGTATGTGTGCATGAGCCCACAGAGATCAGAAGAGGATACTGGATTCCCTGGACTTACAGTTATAGGCAGTTGTGAGCCACTCTGTGGATGCTGGGAACGGAAGCCAGGTCCTCTCCAAGATGGCTAAGCACTCTTGACCACTGAGCCATCTTCCCAGTGAACTTGGGTGTGTATGGGTTCCAGTGGTCATTACTAAAACACATTTGTTAAGAACTGAGTGGATGTTGTCACTGTGCTAAAAGGACTTCATTGTGTCCAGTCTCTATAGTGTCAGTTTACACTGGCGCACTTTAGGATTGTCAAGGTGAGTCTTTCTCTTAGCTCGCGAGTCACTCCATGGGAAGACCCTTCTACAAAACTGCTGTTTTTGAAGTTATGTGGGTTGAGTTTAAGCTGCTCAGACACACAGCTTTGGGGACCTTCTGCTCAATGCCAAAGATGCTCTGGTGCTCATCTGCCTTATGCCTGTGTCCGTGAGTGCTGACACCCCATAAAACATCTATAAATAGGGCCAGCTGTGGCAGGAAGGCTCCCCAACTGTCTGTTTATATTTCCTGAGTCTCCATTAATGGAATCTATCGGCCATAGAGTAGATAACTTCCTCAAATCAATACTAATAAGCACCTTCCACTAAATGTCTTTGTGACCATCTTTTACTCACCCTTCTGCAGGAGTCTACTTTTAACCTCCATGACTCTATCTCTCTGATAGGGCAACCCCTAACTGAGTCCCTAGAACAGGAAATCCTGTGTGACGACTTCTCTCTGCATTTGCTGAGAACCTTGTATGTTTTAATACCCACCTATTGAAAATGACTTCCTGACAATTTTTTTAAATTTTGCTATTTTTATCAGGGCCTATGACTGTTATGAAAATGGTGTGTGTTCTTTGAAGAATGATAAGACATGTTTCTGTCTCAAAAGAGTCTTGCTTCCTTCTTTAGCATGCAATTATAGATCCTTAGAATGGGAGTGACCTTGAACATCAACTCACGTCCGTGAGTTTTCCTAAGTTCTGGGAGGCACAGCTAAGTTAAATCATTTAATCCATTAGTAGTTCCTGCTTTTGAAGTTTTCATAAGGATGGTAAGTTCTGGAGAGCTGGCTCAGCACTTAAACGCACCTGCAGCTTTTGTAGAGGACCCAGTTTGGTTCTGAGAAGCTCAGGTGGATCACAGTCACCTGCAACTCCAGCTCTGAATGTAACTGACACCCTCTTCTGGCCTCTGAGGACACCTGCATGCACATGCACATATTCACACACAGATAAGCACACTTAAACACTATTTAATATTAAATAAAATTTAATAAGGACAGCAATAGAATCATGTCTTTAATTTTTGTCATAGTGTGGTATTAAACTGATTATTCATTCAGTAAGTTATAGATATTTGAGATAACATGTGAGCTGCTATCCTGCCCAAATGCTGAGTTCCACAATAGATCAGTAGCAAAGCTCTTTAAATGACATCACATAACATATTCTCTTGTGACGTGTGGATTAGATTACCTTATTATGTAATGGCTATGAAAATGGAAAAATGGGGCAGGCAAATCAATGCCTGCTTTAAAATTCCTGACAGGACATTCAGAAGTACTTGTGAAAATCCAAATGTGCTGCCATTTGCTTTTTACATTTTACTTTGTGTAGTTTTATTTTTACGGTTTTAGGTGTTGTTTGTTAAGACAGGGTGTCATTAGCCCAGGCTGGCCTTGAACTCACTATGCAGACAAGGATAACCTTGAACTCTTTGTCCTTCTGCCTCCACCTCCCAAGTTCTGGATCATACCTCCCTCTCTAATCATTTACTAGTAACAATAATAAAGGTCATAAAAAACACAGTTCAAGCCGGGTGGTGGTGGCGCACGCCTTTAATCCCAGCACTCGGGAGGCAGAGCCAGGCAGATCTCTGTGAGTTTGAGGCCAGCCTGGGCTACCAAGTGAGTTCCAGGAAAGGCACAAAGCTACATGGAGAAACCCTGTCTCGAAAAACAAACAAAGAAACAAAAAAAAAAAAAAACACAGTTCAAATATATAAGCGGATTATTTCCAAATCATGTACACAAATATTACTATAAATTAGCCATCCTTCTTTTGTGCTTAAATAGCTACTTAGTAGAAAATATTGATTTGATTGATTGAACCAAGAGACTCACGTGTTTGGCTTGTGTTTGTATGTTTATGTGTTAAACTCAATAGTACTCACTGTATATAATTCTGAAAGCTTAATACGAGCACATTCTCTGTGCCCTCTCATAGTTGGCTTTTCACAGTGATTTCCCTCACTTCAGAGAAGAAACCCAGAAATGCATTGTTTTCACTTTTAACCAATTCTATTGAACATCATCATTCCTAACAATATAGAGTATCTCAAAATGTTTAGGTGCTTCCATTTAAGGTAACCACTGTTTTTTAAATATTGACAACATCTCAATATATTATATATCATAAGCCTATTCCACTGCCTTGTGACATTCAAATCCAGTGTGTGAAACAAGTATATCAATGGGATATAGTTAAGAAGGAGGTCCAGATGTTAGTCCCAATGTATCCAGAATTAACAATGAATTTGGTGTTTGTTTCGTAACAGATATGCAAAAGTGGAAGATATAGACAACTGGGTCTCTGTGGATTCTGCCACTTCGGAAATTAAGCTTGTAAAGATTCCAGATTTTGAATCTAGATATGTCCAAAATGGCACCTACACTGTAAAGGTTGTGGCTATATCCAGTGGTAAGTTGGTAAACAGGTGTTTTGTGTAACTAAATGCGTTCAGATGTTATCTTCCAGCACCAGAAGCTTATGTTCTGTGTATAAAAGGCTCATCTCTTCAGTGGTTAAGCCTGCATATTCTTGCTTACTTAGTGACTTAGAACTGATTTGAATTTGAGACCCAGCTGTGATGAGAGGTGTCCTCAGTGGTTAGCGCCCCCTCCTTACCTCATTGGCTTCTGTATTGAAACTGTGTCCATGGTCAGTGATAGACTCAGAAGTCTGAACTCTCTCCTGTTTATTTTCAAGATCATCCTCAGAAAACCATCACTGGCACGGTCATTATCACTGTTGAAGACGTCAATGACAATTGTCCCACACTGGTGGAGCCAGTACAGAGGATCTGTGATGATGCACCATATGTGAATGTCACTGCAGAGGATCTGGATGGACCCCAGAACAGTGGGCCATTCCGTTTCTCCATCATTGACAAGCCCTCTGGAACAGCAGAGAAGTGGAAAATAATACATCAAGAAAGTAAGTGAATTATTGAACTGCATCAAAATCTAAATTATAAGCAAAATCGACAACTAAGATTTTTATAACACAGGCTGTTTCTTCTCTCCAAGTGTACTTCCAGTTTAATTCCCAGTCTACTTTCCAGCCAGTCAGGGTGACACACACCTTCAGGCACAGTACTTGGGAGGTAGAACAAGTCGATGTCTGGGAGTTCAAGGCCAGCGAGTTCAGCCCAGCCGGAGCTACACAGTGAGACCCTGTATCAAAAATAATAGTCACAATAACAATGTAGACCATATTTCTTCTCTCAAATTATACTTCCAATGTCATCTCCAATATAGTTTTCAAGGGACTTATAAAATGAGGCTCTGAACCTACAGTAGTATCTCAGCTCCTCTTACAAACCTGTGGAAAGTAGAGAAGATGGTCTAACATGCCTTAAAGGAGGCTGAGTTTGCTCCAAGTATCCCTTAAGTACTTTTGTCTCATAAGCTGGGGAGACTGGAGCCTTCCCATGTACAGCAATCACACATTTGTAAAATGCACTCATAATGATTCTGTTTAAAATCGAGTTTATTGAGCATGTCCTGTGTTCTAGGCCCTCTGTATATACGATCTCATCTAATCTTGCTTGGTCACATTATTTCCTGATGGTGGGTGGAGAATTGTTTGCCTAACTGAGATGTAGTAACTTGGTGAACGGCACAAAACTAGTTGTGATAGACATGACCTGGCAAAGGGTCTCACCCGCATGCTAACCCGGTGCTGGTGGACACAGTCACCATATCTTGGCCATATTCTTCTTGTTGATGTGAACTTTTGAGTGCCCTTTTGACAGTCTCAAGTGCAGAAAATTCTACCCAGGAGACTATTTAGCAAGCTGTGTTCATTTCAGAAAGGTTTACAGCACAGTTATCAGCGACCATCTTATGAGTTGTAGCTTACCTTAAAATAGTTCAGAGAAAGATTTTGGTTTTTCCCGCTACTTTTTGATTTTTTTTTTTTTTAAATATACACCACGACCCTGGTACAGTGGTTCTTACAACTCTGGCACTTTGGAGGCAGAGGCAAAAGGACTGTTTTTTGAGATTAGCCGCAACTACACATCAAGTTCCAGACTAGCCTGATCTACATAGGCCCTGTCTCAAAGAAATAATGTCAGCAAGATAACTCAATGGGGAAAGGCACTTGATACCAAGCCTAACTACAGAGTTCTACACCCAGGACCCACCTCTAACCTCCCAATGCTGACCATGGTACTGGAACACACAGGCATAGCCACACGCACAATAAATAAATAAATATAATTTCCCCCCTCCTCCCTCCCTTCCTCCCTTCCTCCCTTCCTCCCTCCCTCCCTCCCTCCCCCTCTCTCTCTCTCTCTCTCTCTCTCTCTCTCTCTCTCTCTCTCTCTCTCTCTCTCTCGTTGTTTCTATTTGCTTGTCTTTTGAGACAAGGCCTTACTCTGTGGCCTGTGCTGACCTCGAACTTTGCTATTGTCCTGTCTCGACAGCCGGGTGCTAACATCTTTTACTTTGTTTGCCTTTTTTTATATGTGTCTCACTGTATTAAAATGCTTGTTTAAATAATGTGAAATGCCATTACCAAACTTCTTAAGAAAAGAAACAAAACAGTGGTTATATAGAGAGAAGTATTGTCACCGAAGAGAAGAGCAAGATAAAAATAAGATGAGCTGAAAATTATCAAAAACTGGGCTTGGCACGATGCAGTTTCTGCTACACTTAAAAACTACTTTGGTAGCTTCTTTTGCAATAATGGATAAGATTAATAAACATCCTTGAGTGAAAATGTTGTTCATATAAATGTCATCTCCTGCATCCCTGTGTTCCCACTGACTGGACAGTGTGGTGGCTGCTCCTGGAATTTAGTAGACCACACACATTAGTTAAAAATAATCATCAGAAAGTTAGTCCAATCCTAACCTTCTGCTAGTTCAACTTGGTCTGAAATCTGTGGACACATTTGAGGAGCACACAGAATGAGCTCCATGAGGAGCTGGGAAGGAATAAAGCTTAAACCTGGAGCTACACTCAGACGCTTTCCACGGGTTAGTTTCTCTCCCCTCACCAGCCGCTCGTTTTCATTCCCGGTGCCTTCCCTTCCACAGGGACCAGTGTGCTGCTGCAGCAGAGCGAGCGGAAGCCCGGGAGAAGTGAGATCCCCTTCCTCATTTCCGACAGTCAAGGCTTCAGCTGCCCCGAGAGGCAGGTCCTTCAGCTCACGGTGTGCGAGTGCCTGAGGGGCGGTGGCTGTGCAGAAGCCCAGTATGACAACTACGTTGGCCTGGCCCCCGCGGCAATCGCTCTCATGATTCTGGCCCTCCTGCTCTTGCTGCGTAAGTCTCCAGAGCCTGTCTTGAGTGTCTTCAGCCCAGGGTGGCTTCTTAGCCCTGTAGACAGTGACTTCCTTACACTCCTGCTTTAACCTCATGAGAACATTTTGGATGGTGAATGCTAAGATAATTGGAGAGCATTGCATGTTCTTCCACCTTTTGACATAACTCCTGTGGGTATCTCGATGAGCTGGGGGCAGGGGCGCGGTGGCGGTGGATCCTGTCGTTCAGCTGTATTCCCAGTGCCAGGAGTAGTGTTAATATCTTCAGAAAAGACTTGCCACATGCATGTGCCATGTGGCTATAAGGTTATTTTTGCAATGGTAGTGTGTTCCAATCCAACCATTCTTTGTATGTTCAAGTCACTGAGGCTCCTCTGCCTCCAATCCAGGCTGCTGGGCTTGCCTCTGGCTAGCACCAGCTGCAGCCAACCCTTTTCAAAGCACTTGGTGTGTCCTCACAATGACAAGCTGTGCCCAGCCAGTCCTGTCTGCCCTCCAGTCCGCCAAAGACCTGGGATCACCTACAGCCCCAGTCTACTTGAAATTGGGCAGAGCACCACCTCCAAGACAGCCTAGGCTGTCTCCATGGAAAGAGGAGGGGCCCATTAAAGACACTTGTAGATCTCTAGTTAAATACACAGAGCTCAACAAGTTACAGTGGACCTCTAGCCCATCGGTTCTGTTTGCTGGTGAATGACTTGTTTCGATTTACCATGGAGTTGGGTAGGCATCTTTTACCCAGGATTCCATGCCCTGCCATCCCATCCCAGCTTCTCTGAAGCCTAACCTGTCACTCAGCCCATGGCACTTGATTACTATTAGTTTTTAAAAACAGTACTTAAGAGCTGGGTGTGTAGCTCAGAGGTAGAGAGGGCTTACCTAGCATGCCTGGGCTCAGTCTCCAAAATACATAAAACTAAATGTGGGGGTACAGCACACTTGTGACCCTAGAACTCAAGAAGTAGAAACAGAAGGGTCAGAACTTCAGGATCTCTCTTAGTTACATATTGAGTTTAAGGCCAGCATGGGTATATAATACCCTGTCTGAAAAAATAAAAAAATAAAAACCAAAGAAAAGAAAACAGTACTTTGGTAATTGAAAGGTGAACTGAGGCATCAGAATCGGGTCTTGCGCAAAGCCCCACTCTGAGGTAAAGTACAATAGCTTTGGTGTTCTAGAATATGCTGATGTTTTAGTTGTTGTTACCACCCCCTCCCCCCAGGTTGTGTATGTGTGTGTGTGTGTTTGTTTTGGATGGGGCTTTAGAGACAGGTTTCATTCTGTAGCCCAGCCTGGCCTTAAATTCACAGAAATCCTCCTGCTTCAGCCTCCCAAGCATCTAAGTACTAGGGGCATCACAGACATGTGCCACCATTCTTGGCTGCTTTTGGCCACTCTGATACATATCTTTTAGATAGTACACTTACAAAAAAAAAAAAAAAATTCGGGGCAGTAGTTTTAAAACATTCCATCTTTACCTTGGTCTTTCTGATTTACATATGATCTCATCCAATCACAATATTCTGCTCACTGGCCAGAGATGGGTTCTCTGTAATGAATAAGACCTTTGAGTCAGAGGATTCTATCTGCCTTAGGCTTTGGTGTAATTCAACCAAAGCAAGGCTGCAAAAGGTTGGATCACAGGGAAGAAACACAGAACAGAAAAATGAAGCTTCAAGTAAGTGAACTCGTCCAGTGTGAACTCTAAACGATGGGGTTGGGGTTGGAAGACGGACCTCTGGACTCTGCTTTGCTCTGTGAGCTCGTCCAGTGTGAACTCTAAACGATGGGGTTTGGGTTGGAAGACGGACCTCTGGACTCTGCTTTGCTCTGTGAGCTCGTCCAGTGTGAACTCTAAACGATGGGGTTGGGGTTGGGGTTGGAAAACGGACCTCTGGACTCTGCTTTGCTTTCTACAGTTGTGCCGCTCTTGCTGCTGATATGCCACTGTGGAGAGGGCGCCAAAGGCTTCACCCCCATTCCTGGGACCATAGAGATGCTGCACCCTTGGAATAATGAAGGGGCACCACCTGAGGACAAGGTCAGTTTATCAGTGATGGAACCTGCCTTCTGGTCTGATTTTGTTGGGGGATGTGGGGAGTTTGAACAGTCTCACTCTGCAGCCCAGACTAGTCTTGAACTGAAAGCAATCCTCCTGCCTTGGGCCCCCAAGTATGGGGATTACAGCTGTGAATCACCATGCCCAGCCTTATTTTATGATTTTAAAGGTGTCTTTCTTGGAGGGTATTTACAATATTTTTTGTCATGAGACACTGGCACAGCTATTGAGTTGTGAAATATATACACTAAGAGCTGGCATTCAGCTCTTAAAGGCCTTGGCATGTAGGAAGTAACAATGTCTGGAAGACTGAGCCCTCCATCTTTGGGAGCTGACAGTGTCACAGGGGAATTGATTAGAGGGACCCAACTGATGTCCACAGCAAAACTGACTGCCTGCTTGGTGGTGAGGGAAAGCCCTATGCCTTTCAAGGTCACGGGAGCCTGTGTTGGTGTTGTAGTATGACAGTGAAAACAGAGAAATAGTCACTAAATCCCATGCATGTGTTTACCCAGCAGCAGTCATTAGATCTCACACATATGCCTTTGTCAAAGAGCAGATTCAAGTGATAGCATGTTCTCTCTTGCTTGCCAGAGCAGACTTGAGAGGTTTTGACTGTACTGTGGTATATCCTGTGCTAACAAGAATGCAGACCAGAAGCCAGCAGGTGATCCAAATGACGTAGAGCAAGGGACAGGGAGAGCAAGAGCATGTGGGAATTTAGACTAGGAACTTCTGCCCTGCTATGAAGTGGTCCTTTCAATACCAAGATCTGATCCATTTCCATTCTCAGTACAGTCAGTTGACAGAGGTAAACCCCAACCCCCAAGATGCTTATGAAGTGTGCCCAAATCCCTTTTCTTATTGCTTAACAGTCATCTCCCTATCCTTCCAATGTGTCTTCACCCTGGGTCTCTCCTCGTCATCTGCCACAAGTACCATTTCCTGTAGGATGTATGTTTCAACAGCAAGTGTCAGGAAGCTGAGTACTGGCAAAGAAGAGCATGGTGTTTCTCCATGTGGATTACTGTCTTAGTTAGGGTTTCTAATGCTGTGAGGAGACACCATGACCATGGCAACTGTTAGAAAGGAAAACATTTAGGGCTGGCTTACAGTTCAGAGGTTTAGTCCATTATAATCATAGTGGGACATGGCAGCGTGCAAGCAGACATGGTGCTAGAGAAGGAGCAGAAAGTGGTCTTGGACACTGGGTGTGGCCTGAGTATAGATGAGACCTCAAAGCCCACCTCCACAGTGACACACTTCCTCCAATAAGGCCACACCCACTCCAACAAAGCCACACCTCCTAATAGTGCTACTCCCTTTGGGGGCCATTTTCTTTCAAACCACCACAATTATTTTCCTTGTTACTGCAGCAATAATATCTGATAAGGCAAACTAAGGAAGTAAAGGCTTATTTGGCTTACAGTTTGAGAGCCACAGTCCAGCATGGCAAAGAAATGTTGGTAGCCTAAGTGTGAAGAGGCGGGTCTCACTGCATCTGCAGTCAGGAAGCAGAGAGCAGACAGGAAGTGGTCCACCTCCAGTGATTCACTTCCTTTAGTGAAGTTCCACCTCCTAATGGTTCCACAATATTCCAAAGCATCCCACCAGCTAAGGACCAAGTGGTCAAACACGTGAGCCTGTAATCTCAGTGCTTGGAAGGATAATGGAAGAGGGTCAGAAGTTCAAGACCAGTCTAGACTACACAGTGAGATTTTGTCTCAAATAAGAATAAGTAAGTAAATGTGGACAGTCCTGGATCAGTCAACATGGAGATCCTTCAACACATGCCCCCACCCCACCTCCTTCCAGATGCTCCACAGATGGGTTCCATTCCAGAAACTAGTTCTTGTCCTCACACTGGAGCAAGCAGCTGAGACATGAAGAACTGCTCTGTAGGCACATTTGCTTTTACAAGTTGCATATACCATTTCTCCTTGGTTCTCTTTAATTTAGGCAAGAGATTCTAGCAATGGAAGAGTGGAAATAGAGTTTTATGTCCAGCTGAAATTTCAGAGTTCTGTAACTGTCACAGAAGACCTCAAAGGGAGGTAGATGTCATTGGTTCTGGTAAACAGAATGAACCAAGACCACATAAGGAATCTGAGCTTTGTGTCTCCCATGGGTTGTAGTCAGCTCTGAAGCAGGGAGAAGAAATCCTTCACAGGACTCAAGTAGACGTGTCCCACCCTAAGTGGTTTCCTAATTTGCCTAGAAGGCAATAGCTTATCCCTCCTTACATCCACTTAGCTTATATCTTTATGCCAAGTACACTGTCCCTTTGTCCTTCGGATTCATGTCTGAGCTGTTTACCCCTAGGTGGTGCCGTCACTTCTGGTGGCGGATCATGCCGAGAATTCAGCGGTGAGAAACGGGGTAGGAGGTGCAGGAGGCTCGATGCTCAAGGAAAGCCTGGTGAAAGGCAGCAGCTCGGCGTCCTTTACCAAAGGACAGCATGAGCTGTCCGAAGTGGATGCAAGATGGGAAGAGCACAGAAGCCTCCTTACGGCCGGAGCCACTCACCTTGTAGGGACGGCAGGAGCCATCGCAGCCAATGAAACACTGAGGATGACAAGAGCCACAGGGGCTTCCAGAGACATGAGTGGGGCTCGGGGAGCTGCTGTGGCAATGAATGAGGAATTCTTGAGGAGTTACTACACAGAGGTAAGCACTGGCGTTTGGGGATGGTGAGGAGGGAGAAGGAAACGTTTATATCAAAACGTGAGATTCTGGATTACTAAGTGGGCTTTTGTAGAGACAATTAGTGGGAAACTTTTATGGTTTGTGTGTGTGTGTGTGTGTGTGTGTGTGTGTGTGTGTGTGTGTGTGTTTATAGGCAACAGGAAAGAGAGGTGGGCCCCATTGAAATAGACAGTGTTAGCCAAGTTACGCTGTGATAACAAATGGCCCCGTAATCTGCTTAGTTTTTACAAAGGCCTTTTTCTTCATGCTTTTACCTGTTGACTTGTTCTTGCTCTGTTCCGTGTCATCTTCATTCTAAGATGCAGATTAAGCCCAGGGAAGCTGCCATCCTGTGGAACAGGGAAGACCACAGTGACAGAGCCAGACCTCGGCTCTGGTGGCTGCTTATCTCACGGCTATCATAAAACAGCTGACAAGCGCAGCTGGAGGGAGAGTTTAGTTGAATTCATGGTTTGAGAAGTTAGTTCCAGACCATCCTGGGGAAGCATAACAATGGCCTCTCGAGATGACTAGTCGGATTACGTCCACAGTCAGGAAGCAGAGAGAGGTGCATGCTGGGGCTCAGCTCACTTTCTCCTTTTTTCAATTTCATTTGGTTCGGGAACCCAGCCCATGGATGGCACCACCCACATGTAGGGTGGGTGAGTCTTCCATCCTCATTCAAACCTCTTAGAAAACTGCCTCAATGACATATCTAGAGGTGTGTTGCCAAGGTGATTCTCAACCCAGTCAAGTCAATAATGATGATTAATCTTCACAGGCTTTCAGACTCTCTTCTTTTGTCAAAGTAAGTCATGTGACTATGACACATGGCCCTGGGTCAAAAATAGTACCCTTCTACAGAAGCAGGCTTTGGGGGGTAAACAGAGGAAGGAGGGCAGAGAACATAGCCTGAAACACTCAGGCTAGTAAATCCACTTACATTTTTGGTTGGTTGGTCGGTCAGCTGGTTGGATTTTGTTTGTTGTTTGTTTATTAGTTTGTTTTAATTTTATTTATTGTTTTTATGTGTATGGATGTTCTGCTTGCATGTTTGTCTAAGGACCACAGGCAGGCAATGTCTGGTAGAGACCCGACCAGAAAAGGCATCAGATCCCTGGAACTGGAGGAACATATAGTTGTGAGCTGTCATATGGGTGGTGGGAATCAAACCTGGGTCTTCTGGAAGAGCAGCAAATGCTCTGATGCACTCAGCATCTCTTAAGCACCCCATTTTGGCTATTTATATGATAACACTTGTCATTCTGAAGGGAATTCACAAAGAAACAATGGAGGAAGTTACTCAAAAGAGGGTCAGGTATCGTGGCCTGAGGTTAGCACCTGGAAACAGGACTGGAAATAAGTGTTCCATCTAGACCTAATTCATCCCAGGATACATTTCATTACTAGAATCAAAACTATTCATTTCAAAATGGGAACTAGTCAGTTCATGCAGAAGCCTGATGCTGCTGAGTAGGTCATTGCCTTACAACAGGAATCGAAAGCCTTGAAGCCAAAACTGCTGGAGAGGTCGACAAACCCACCATTACAGTTGGAGGGTGGAGCCTGTTCTGTCAGAGCAGAGAGGAAGTTGGTAAGGGTGCAGGAAACATAGCGGCGTGGTCAGCTGACTGGATCTAACCGCCACGGTGCAACGCTGGGTGTCACAAAACTTTAAATAGGTCTGGCAGCGTGGCAGGGGGTAGGAATTCAGCTCAGTGGAAGAGCGTAAAGCTCTAGGTTCCAACTCCAGCCTTCCCCCCAAAAGAGGAAAGGGAACTAGGATTTCAGAGCTTTCATAAAACGTCAGAAGAATCAACGGAAGGATGTGGAGACACACATCTCTAACCATAGCATACAGGAGGCAGAGGCGGGAGGACCCGGGAGTTCAAGGTTATCCTCAGCCACATATTGAGTTTGAGGCCAGCCTGGGATACCTAAAATCATGTCTCAAAGATAGTAGAAATTTCCAAGCGTGTCCGTTGCTTACATGGATTGTAGCCAGTTACATTTTCCATTATCTTCTGTTTTTCCATTCTGTCTCACACTTACACAAACACATAGGCATACTCCAAATACAGGCACGTGTCCCCTATTACCACAGTGCAGCTAACAAATTAGGAAACTTAAAATGGATACGATTTACATTTCATTTTAGTCACTGATAAACTCCATGATAAGGGCAATTGTCTTCTAAAGCAATTAACTTCTCTACGCGGTGTCTAATTGAGTTACCATGGCACTATTCACATCTAATCTGACATTGTTCTCCCAACCGTTTTTCATCTTTCATGGTATTAATGTTTTGTGACAAGACAGGTCAACATATCCTATGATATAGGATGTCTCAATTATGTTTCTCTTCTGTTTTCTTGTAATTAGACTTGATTTTTCTCAGTTTCTGCATTATAAACAGGAACATCAAGCCTTGTTTTTAAATGAATTTGTGTTGGTAATGATCTAGCTCCATTCTTATTTCTGTGACAGAAAGCGGCCTCCTATGCTGAGGAAGACGACCTTCACATGGCCAAAGACTGCCTTCTCGTTTACTCCCAGGAAGAGATGGACTCCCTCCGAGGCTCCATTGGCTGCTGCAGCTTTATCGAAGGAGAGCTTGATGACCTGTTCTTAGATGACCTGGGGCTTAAATTCAAGACACTAGCTGAAGTTTGCCTGGGTCGAAAGATCAATTTGGATGTGGAGGGTGAACAGAGGCAAAAGCCTGTCCGAGAAGCAAGTGTGAACCCAGCTGCGGGCTCACTCTATGAGCAAACGATGGTCAACTCAGAGAGCACGTACTCCTCTGGCCATGGCTTCCAAGTCCCCAAACCTCTGCATGAAGCACACACAGAGAAAGTCACCCAGGAAATTGTCACTGAAAGCTCTGTGTCTTCTAGGCAGAGCCAAAAGGTAGTGCCACCACCTCCTGACCCCGTGGCTTCTGGTAATATCATAGTGACAGAAACTTCCTATGCCACAGGCTCCACAGTGCCGCCCAGCACTGTGATCCTGGGTCCTAGACAGCCACAGAGCCTTATTGTGACAGAGAGGGTGTATGCTCCAGCATCCACCTTGGTGGATCAGCATTATGCCAATGAAGAAAATGTCCTTGTTACTGAACGAGTGATCCAGCCTAACGGGGGTGTCCCTAAGCCACTCGAGGTCACCCAGCATCTGAAAGATTCGCAGTATGTTATGGTGAGGGAAAGGGAGAGCATCCTTGCTCCCAGCTCAGGTGTGCAGCCCACTCTGGTAATGCCCAGTGTGGCAGCAGGACAGAATGTCACAGTGACAGAGAGAGTTCTGGCTCCTGCTTCCTCTCTGCAGTCCAGTTACCAGATCCCCAGCGAAACCTCTCTCAAGGCTAGGAAGACTGTGCTTTCCAGTGTAGGAGGCCTGGGCCCTGTGCCCAGTTTAGATTTAGAGGAATCTGGCCATCCCAATTCTACTGTAACCACATCTTCCACCAGGGTCACCAAACACAGCACCGTGCAACATTCTTACTCCTAAACGGAAGCCAGCTGCCGTCTGACCCGGAGCCTAACTGGCTTCTCTGGATGTGTGTTTCCATGCCCCTAACCCATACAAAGACTTAGGCAGTGAAAGAAGTCACTGCTGTGCCGAGAGGGCCACAGTGTCTCTGGTAGGGCTGTATTTCAGAAATGCTCTGAGATATTCAGGGGATGGATTGAAGATGCTGTTTCCTAAGTGCCTTTCGTACACTGTGCAAGCAATACTCACAGGCTAGACAAGTAAAATCGGCTTCTAGGAACTTGCCAAATTAAAGCATGGTTTCTAGTTCATCTGGTCCAGAAGGATGGGTCTCTGCACAATGCATCGACACCCTGTAGGTACAGTTCCACCCTTTATATTACAGAACCTCACAGGTTATAGGTACCAAATAGCTCATCTAACCCAGAGGAGCATCTCCTCTCTGGGCTTCCACTTGTGTTGCTGGTTCTCTTTAACACTGGAACCCTGAGTATCACAGGAGGCCAGAAGAAAGAAAAAGAAAAAACCTTGGACCCCTTTTAATTGTGTAAATTGTTGGAATTTTAGAACACTGACATGATAAGAATACATGTTGTGTATTTCTCTGCACATGACATGTATCCACACATGTCCTGTGTGCTTAAAAAAATGACTTCATATTTCTCCTTGTTTCTCAGAGGTCATAAAGATATTAAGGATTTTAAATTCAGTTAAATAATCCAGGATAGCCAAGTGTGGTGGCACATGCCTTTAGTCCCAGCACTTAGGAGGCAGGAGATCTCTGAGTTTGAGTTCCAGGACACCCAGAGCTACATAGAGAGACCCTGTCTCAATAATAATAATAATAATAATAATAACCCAAGATAAAATTCATACTTAATTTTCTGTAATGTGATAATAGTCTATAAAACAAAACCCTCAGCATATATTTGTTTCTTGGCTACAATTTAGTGCATTCAGGGGCTGGACAGATGGCTCGGTGGTTAAGAGCACGTTACTGCTTTTGCCGAGAACCCTACTTTAGTTTCTGAAGTCCATGTCCTGTGGACAACCACCGATAATTCCAACTTGGGGGGGGGGGGGGGTCTGATGCTCTCTACTGGACATCAGCGGTATTGCACGCACACAATTCAGTGTAGTTAAGCGACCAGCCATTCACCTGTCATCCTGAGTGCAGGGCCAAGCCAGTATCTATGGGTCAAGCTGACTTCCACAAACCACTCTTTTATTACAATTATTCAAATGTCAAAAAGACTCTTTTCATAATTCTGAATTATTATTTTTACCACTCTGATGTCTAAACACAATTGACTGGTTATGACTTGATATACATGATATACATTTTACCATAAAAACCTTGAATAATTGGATCAGTTTCACTGAACTTCCCTGCCTTGTTTCTTTAAGGAAGTTGTTGGGATTGTGCAGCTCATCAGTGGAAAATGTCGTATAAATAAAAATTGTTTCTGAAAAAATGTTTCAAAACCTATGTGTATATCAGTAACAATTTATGCTTTACAAAAAAAGAAACTATTGAAAACAATCAAATTTCTCAATATTTTCCTAGGAAAATGGAAATTCTTCACTTATGCTTTTTTTTGTTGTTGTTGTTTTGTTTTGTTTTCGAGACAGGGTTTCTCTGTGTAGTTTTGGAGCCTGTCCTGGCTCTCGCTCTGTAGACCAGGCTGGCCTCGAACTCACAGAGATCCTCCTGGTTCTGCCTCCCGAGTACTGGGATTAAAGACAGGCACCACCACTGCCCGGCTCACTTACCCTTTTGTAGACATTTTTAAAATGATGTTTACATGCATCGCATTGTGAAAACATTTATACCATGCACCCCACTATCTGACGTGTGACGTATTTTACAAATGGTCTGCTGTGCGGGGTGGAGGCCGACTTATTTCTACAATCTAGAGTTGTTTACTTTCTGCATAGCAAGCTTTGTGGGATTTCTGTTTTGTTTTGTTTTTATTGTAATTGATGTTTCACCAGGTGTGCAGCAGGAATCACACTACTGTGTGAGGCTACAAATACAGCCCATGTGCTCAAAACACTAAAACTCTGTGGGTAGGTTTGGGGCCCTGCTCCTCCTTTGCACAGGGCGTAGTCACTTGTATGGTCTTCCTTGTTTCTAAAAGGGTGATTTGTGTCAGTTTTTACATTTGTTCCTTGGGAGGATTGTGTTTGTGTGTCTATCCATGTAAAATATTTCAATAAAAAGACTGCCTTCCTTCACAGTGGCCTTCCTCCCTGTCTTCCTACCGATCGATCGGTCGTATTTCACAAAGGATGCTGCTGCCTTGGGCAGAGAGCTGCCTTGGCAGATGTTTCCTGGGCTTCCTTATTTAGTATGATCTGCTTTGCTGGCCCAAGCAGCCTCTGTGAAGAGCATTGCTAATCCTCCTAAGAAGGGTGGTTAAGTTGAAATTTCAGGTCAACGTTGAATACTCTCTTACTGTACATCAGTAGTCTAAAAAAAATGCAGCTGCTCTTGACTTGGGACGGAACTGTACCCCAGTAAACTCAGCATTGATTGAAAATACAGTAAGCTAGGCACGCAGTTAATATCCCAGCCTGCCTCACACTGTAATCCCATTCTTAGTAAGCACATGTCACTTTGGCACCACCCTGCAGCTGAACCACCGCAGGTCGGTGACTCTCTATATTATTTTTCTGAAATTAAGTTTTAACCATGATTGTTTGGTTAGTTCAGCAACTTTATTCTTGAGGAATTGATTGTCACTCTGCCAAGAAATTTCTACAGGAGTCTCTTACATTTAGCCGTTTAGCTCTCCATCTGACCCAAAGAGAGGACATTTTTCACCACATTTAGAGAGGCTGTTTTAGTTGCTTGTTACATTTTACAAAGGGAACGATAAAAGTCACTACAGTAGAGAAAGAAGTTAAAAATTATTCTATGATGAGACTCTGAGGAAATACAGATTAGTGAAAGGAAAAATATAAAGAGGGTCAGCATGCATAATACAGAGAAAAACTTTAGAATTAAGCAAGTTGAAAAAATACTTAGAATTTGGGTTTCCATTTTTCAGAGCAAAACTTTAAAATTTAACAAATCACTTGTGCAAAGAATAACTCATGTCATGGGAAGGGGCTAGCCTTGAACCAGAAGAAGTATAGAGAATCCAGGCAACATGGGCAAGCAGGATTTACAGTCAGTATCTTGGTCACAGACCAGCATCAGGGGGTATCCTGTGATTGGATGAGGTAATAAACAAACAAACAAACAAACAGAGTCTTCTTTGTGGTTACCTAGTAAACCAGATGGCAGTTCACTATGTAAAGACTCAACTTACAGATGCCACCTTGGGCCAAAGTTAGTTCAACTATGTAATTACTGGGCTGGCACAAAAGAAGAGCCACATGGGTTTTTGGACAGTGAAGATAAGCCAGGAGAAGGCTACTAGGGCAACACCCTTTTATGATAAAATTCTTGGAGAGACTAGAGATAAAAGGGACACATCCAAACATAACAAAGACAATTTACAGCAAGCAAGCCTACAGCCATCAAATTAAATGGATGTAAACTCAAAGCAATTCCACTAAAATCAGGAACAAGAGAAGGCTGTCTACTCTCTCCCTATCTATTCAATAGAGTAATTGAAGTTCTGGCTGGAGCTATAAGACAATTGAAGAAGATCACATGATATAAATTGGAAAGGAAGGAGTCAAAGTATTGTTACTTGCAGATGATATGATAACAACCTCCAAAATTCTACCAAGGAACTTTACCAGCTGATAAACACCTTCAGCGAAGTGGCTGCATTAAAGAATAGCTTTAAAAAAAAATTCAGTAGCCCTCCTATATACAAATGATAAATGGACTGAGAAAGAAATCAGGGAAACAACACCCTTCACAACAGCCACAAATAATGAAACAATGTAATATATCTTGAAGTAACTCAAAAACTTCAAATCTTTGGAGAAAGAAATTCAAAAAATATATCAGAAGATGGAAAGATCCCCCATGCTCACAGATTGATAGGATTAACATAGGAAAAATGGCCATTTTACCCAAAGCAGTCTATAGATTCAACACAATCCCCATCAAAATTCCAACACAATTCTTTAAAGACCTTGAAAGAATAATACTCAATTTCATATGGAAAAACAAAAACTCAGGATAGCTAAAATCTTGTATAGTAAAAGAACATCAGAAGGTATCACCCTCCCTGATTTCAAGCTCTACTATAGAGCTATAGTTATAAAAACCATGTAGTATTAGAATAAAAACAGACACATTGATCAATGGAATTGAATCAAAGACCCAGTCATAAAACCACACACCTATGGACACCTAATTTTTGATAAGTCAGAAATACATAATGGAAAAAAAGAAAGCATCCTCAACAAGTGGTGCTGATATAACTGGATGTCAGCATGTAGAGAACGCAAATAGATCCACATCTGTCACCATGCACAAAACTCAAGTCCAAGTGGATCAAAGACTTCGGCCAATATAAAACCAGACACACCGAACCTGAGAGAAGAAAAAGTGGGGAACAGCCTTGAACACGTTGGCCCAGGAAAAGACTTTCTGAACAGAACACTGATAGCACAGACACTAAGATCAACAATCAATAAATTGGATTTCATGAAACTGTAAAGCTTCTGAAAGGCAAAGGACACCATCAACAGGACAACGTGGCAGCCTACAAAGTGGAAAAAGATTTTCACCAACTACACATCAGACAGAGGATTAATATCCAAAGTATATAAAGAACTCAGGAAACTAGACATCAAAAAAACCAGATAATCCAATTTTTTAAATGGGGTACAGATCTAAATAGAGAATTCTCAACAGAGGACTCTCAAATGGCCAAGAAACCCTTAAAGAAATGTTCAACATTCTCAGCCATCAGGAAATGCAAATCAAAACTACTTTGAGATTCCATCTTACACCTGTCAGAATAGCTAAGATGAAAACACAAGTGACAACTCAGGTTGGGGAGGATGTGGAGCAAAAGGAACACTCCTCCACTGCTGGTGGGAGTGCAAACTTGGACAGCCACTATGGAGGTCAGTGTGGTAGTTCCTCAGAAAACTGGGAATCTATCTGCCTCAAGAGCACACTATACCACTCTTGGGCTGTACCACTCAACTATACCCAGAAAACAATCCATCCTACCACAAGGACACTTGCTTAACTATGCTCATAGCAGCTTTACTGATAATAGCCAGAAACTGGAAACAACCTAGATGTCCCTCAATTGAAGCATGGATAAAAAAAATGTGGTACATTTGCACAATGGAGTATTTTATTACTCCGTCATTAAAAAAAAAAAAAAAACCCATGGTATCATGAAATTTGCAGGCAAATGGGTAGAACTAGAAAAAAATCATACTGAGTGAGATAGCCCACACCCAGAAAGACAAACATGGAATGTACTCACAGACCTAGAGAGGCTAAGCAACAGAAGGGCTCAATGGGGGATGATACATGGATCTCCCTGGGAAGGGGAAATACAATAGATTCTGTGGATTGACTGGGGGTGGGTGGGAATAGGAGCAGGAGGTTTCAGATGAAAAAGGTGGGAGGGATGGAGGGAGAGATGACTGGGGTTGAGGGGCATTTGGGGGGCAATGTAGAAACCTAGTGCATTGGAAAGTTCCTGGAATCTATGATGAGTGACCCTACTGAAGTCTTCTAGTAATGAGAGATACAGAGCCTGAACCAGCCATCTTCCATAACCAGGCAAGGATCCTAGAAGTAGAATTGGGACATCAACTGGGCCACAAAAACTTTGACCTACAATCTGTCCTGCCTACAAAATGTGCTGGGGCAATGATGGCACAGAACTTGTGGGAGTGGCCAACCAATGACTGGTTCAACTTGAGGCCCATACCACGAAAGGGATCCCACATCTGCCACTGCCTGTGTGGCCGGGAACCAGAGGCTGGAGAGTCCAGAGACCTAGGATAGAACCAAACACAAGTGGCAAAAAAAAAAAAAAAAAAAAGTCAATGAAATGATTCTCAGTGATATTCTGCTATACTCATAGGTCAGTTCCTAACTCAATCATCATCAGAGAGGCGTCATCCAGCAACTGATGGGAGCAGATGCAGAGACCCACAGCCAAATACTAGGCAGAACTCAGTGAATCCCACAGAAGAGGGGGAGGAAGGATTGTCAAGCCAGAGGAGTCGGGGACACTACAAGAACACAGCCCACAGAATCAACTAAGCAGGGCTTATCGGGGCTCACAGAGACTGAAGCAACAATCACAGAGTCTGCATGGGTCTGCACCAGGTCCTTGTGTACATGCTATGATTGTGTAGTGTGGTGTTCTTGTGGGACTCTAACAATGGGAGTAGGGGTTGCCTCTGACTTCCTTGCCTGTTCTTGGGTCACTTTTCCTCCTACTGGGTTGCCTTGTCCAGTCTTGATATGAGGGTTTGTGCCTAGTCTTATTGTAACTGAGCCATGAGTTGATGTCACTGGGAGGCCTGCTCTTTCTTTTGAAGGGAAATGAGATCTAGTGAATATAGGGGACTGGGGAGAGTGGAGGGAGGGGAAACTGAGGTTGGGATATAATGTGTGAGAGAAGAGCATATATATATCCATTACTCCCTCTAAGATAAAAGGTATGTTTTATGTAGATGCTGAATAGAGAGATGTAGATTTAACTGTCTTATTAAATAAGAAACACAGAGCCAAATGCAGAGTTAAAAGCCCAAGAGGTCAGAGCAGTAGTTAAGAGCTGATACTAAAAACCCTTTCTTACCCTTCGCTGCCGCTGCTGTCCTTCCTCTGAGAAAGAGACCGACTTCCTGTGTGTCTGTCTTTTTATTGACTTTCTGTTCTGCCCTCTTATTGGTTGTAAACCCAACCATATGACTTCCTCATCACTGTCTATCTATACAGACCTCCAGGTCTCTATGGTTGGTATTGAGATTAAAGGCATGTGTCTCCATGCTGGCTGTATCCTTGAACACACAGAGATCTGCCTGTCATGTGATCGGGATTAAGGGCATGTGCTACCACTGCCAGATTTCTGCTATGGCTTGCTATTAGCTCTGACCCCCAGGTAACTTTATTTATTAACATACAAATAAAATCACATTTCAGCACAAGTAAAATATCACCATATTTCCCCTTTTCTATTTTAATAAAAAGAAAAAAGTTATAACTAATATAAGAAAAACTACATACAAGAAGTACAATAACTATATACAATATATACAAGCAATAAACACCTAATAATGTTTAGTTGTCT